AAAATCGTTTAGAGAAAATCCCAGTTTTATAACTTAATGCTCACAGATCTGCATTAAACTTACACACTCACATACAACACACAAACACACACAAAATAATAATGATGAAGAAGAAGAGGAGGAGGGGAGGAGAGGAAGGAGGAAAAGGAGGAAGAAGAAGGAGGAGGAGGAGGAAGGAGGAGGAGGAGGAGGAGGAGGAGGAGGAGGAGGAGGAGGAGAAAGAAGAAGAAGAAGAAGAAGAAGAAGAAGAAGAAGAAGAAGAAGAAGAAGAAGAAGAAGAAAAGCTGGGAATATGTTTCAAAGAGTATTTACATCATTTTCAGTATTTTCTATATATGTAACTTTATCATGGGATGTAAGTAAACAAAAAGTACATTGTTTCAGTAGCTTAAACTGGTCTACATAATGATACAAACCAACTGGAAACTTTGGCTTTAGCAGCCTGAGGTTCCATCCCATCATTGCCACAGCTCCAGTTTTAAATTACATAGTATTCCAACATTTGAGTTTACCATCACTGAAAAGTAGAGTGATATTGCCTACATTGTATTTCATGCTGTGAGCTGGAATGACATGAATGAGAAAATGCAGTGTGCTTTGAGTTTTCAATCTAATAAAGTGTTTGAGTGACTTACTACCATGAACAGATGCTGGAGATATAGTATCCATACAACAGAAGAATTCCCACTGAGAAGAATGCAGAAATAGAGACGTTAAGTAAATCAACTCAGTACAGGATGTGAAGAGCAGCAGCGATGGAAGCATTGTCACCTACTGCCTAGTTAGGATGACTGTTTAGGGATGAGAATTCAGTCTAGTTTCCCTACATGGATCCTATCCACAGATTCTCCACCAGATGAATCTAGCAGAGAGTGATGCATTGCTTTCTGCGTGTTTCCACCTTCCTCCTGCAGGCGTGTATGGGATAAACATACATATTCCTATATTGGGTTCAAATCTGATTTCTTTGTTGGCTCAGAATTCTTTAGTGAAGAAAATAGTAATTGTTTTTACTGCATGCAAAACTCCAGTCCATCTATTGTGGATATATAAAGATCAACAGAGCACACACATCTTCCATATAAGGGTCTAGCTTATAAACATGAGTAAGAAACACACTTTTTTGACAAAGCATTGGTATTTGTAAGCTTGACCATGATAATACATATAAAGTCCATTTCTGTAAGCGAGCACGCCATAGATAAGATTATCTTCACATATTGCAGGGGATTGCCTACACAATACCTTGTTCACTGAGGACTGAGCAGAAAGGGTGTGTGTATCACATGCTTTTCTCATATCGTAAGTGTGGTGATATTTTGTTTGTGTTATAACAAGTAAAACTTGACTGAGAATCAGAGTTCAGAGCCACCCACGCTAGGCAGTGGTGGCGCACACCTTTAATCCCAGCACTCATGAGACAGAGACAGACAGATCTCTTTGAGTTCAAGGCCACCCTGACCTACATAAGATTCAATCAGTCTAAAAGAGAAATAGAGCTCAGACCTTTTGTCCCAGGATTTGGGATTCCAGGGCTTTAATCCCAGCACCTCCACAGGGAGGTGGAGACAGGAGAGATACGACTGGGCAGATAGAGGAATATAAGGCTGGAGGAGACAGTAGCTCAGAACATTCAGTCTGAGGACCTGTAGAGACAGGAAAGCCCATTTGGTCTGATTTCCAGAAGTCATACATCAGATAGCAATGCTACTTGTTCATTCTTTCTGTGGTTTCACTACAATTGTCCCCTATCTAATTTGTTTCCCTTAACAAACACATTAAATTGTACACATTTAAATTTGATGAGTTAATATATATATATATACATATATATATATATATATATATATATATATATATATATATATATATATATATACTCTTAGAATCACTACCAGAGACAAGAAAGTTCCCAAAGTTTCTTCCTAACCCTTTCTAATCTGTCCGTCCTATCTATCTGTAATGGCTCCTCAGTCCCCAGCAAGGAGTCTTTTGTTCTTTGTCACTATACAATGCTACAACTTCTGACATTCTCCATACATACACTAATATGGTATACACTGTACATTTTGAATGAAATGTACTGAGAATAATTATTATAAGATTTTAAATGTTGCATACACCAAGAATTTGTTTATTTTAATGCCAAGTAGCATTATATTTTGTGGCTATACCACAATTTATCCACTTATCCACTGATGACCATTTGGGTTGATTCCTGGGTTTGACTACTACAAATTACACTGATACGAAGATTCATGTGTAAACATATTCTTTAGCAATGCTAAAATGAATGAGTAATGTGATAGATTATATTCAGCACACAGAGTACTGTATGTTTTCTGTTAGCAGGAAAGGCAGGAATATTCCCTCTATATCCTTGACAATATTTGGTATGCTCTGAGTTTTTATTTCTATAACAGAAATGTGGCAACATTTTGCTGCATTTTTCCATTTTTTTCTACTTTTGAGATTAGATTATAATTGCATCATTTTTTCTTTCCCTTTCCTCCATCATCCAGACAGTCCCATACTCCTTGTTCTCTTTCAAATTCATGGCCTCATTTTTTATTGTTATATCCATATATATATATATATATATATATATATATATATTATACATACATATACATATATTGGTAACTATAACCATTCCAGTCTGTATAATGTCACTTGTGTTTCCACGGCTGACCACTTCATATTGTATAACCAGCTGATGTGTTCTTCCCTGTAGAAGACTATTTCTCCTACCATCACCATTCCTTAGATATGTAGGCTTGAGGCCTCCTAGACTTTCCTCCATCCACTTTGGCACAGCTGCTGTTATCGTTCTTGTTCAGCTCATGTTCAGACAACAATTTTGGTGAAACTTTCCAGTGTAGTTTCTGACATTACTAGGAGACACAAATTCACAACAAAATCCATGATCCTCTGCTGCAGTTTTAACTAGCATTTCCCCGATGATAAATCCCCTTGGAAAATACTTAATGCTTCTGAATGCCTTAGAAAAAATGGGTACTTTTTAAAAATATTTATCTTATATGTATGAGTATTTTGCTTGTGTAACTGTGCACCATGTATATACCTCATGCCCACACAGGCAAGTAGAGGGTGTTGGGTCCCCTGAGACTGGAGTTAGAGGTAGGTTGTGAGACACCATGTGCCTGCTGGGGACTGAACTGAGATGCTCTGATATAGCAGCCAGTGTTCTTAACCACTGAACCAACTCCCTAACCATTGAACTATCTCTCCAACCTCAAAGACAGGCATCTTTTAAATCCACTGAACATTTAAATGTAATAATGGCCTGTTCATTCTTTCAGCATACCAGTGCACACTTTTAATATGATTCAGGTGATTTAAAAGAAAATAATGCCAGTTGGTTATAGTTGCATACTATTCCCAAGAACGTTGTGCCACATATGAATGAACACCATGTGAACACGTCATTAACACTTTCACATGGGTCACTACTGCAAAAACTATCTGATTCTCAAGGCTCTTAATGCTGTTATTTGCCTGATGGGACTGTTGCAGCTACACCTGGTTTTCTTTCCTTCTTGAAGATGAAATATAGATGAACTATTTTGCCATTCTAATTAAATCTATGTAGTATAAGGATGTGGGAAAGATTAAAAAATAGTACAAAGAAGTAATATAAAAGTAGTTAAGGAAAATCTGAAATATGATAAAGAGGGCAAAAAGTAAAAATAATGGGAACCAAAATGGTTTAATAAAATCAAGAAAATGTGGAAAAGTAAATAAAAATAGAAAAAATTAAAGAGAAAGGGATCCTTTATGAATCCAGCAGAAAGTCCCCAAGCAATACTGGATATGGAGCCTAAAGTGGCCATGTCCTGTGATCAGATTGGTGAATACCCCAATTGTCATCTGAGAGCCTTCATCCAGTAATCGATGGAAACAGATGCAGAGAACCTCACCTAAACATTAGGCTGAGCTCAGGGAATCCTGCTGAAGATAGGGAGGAAGGGTTATAGGAGCCAGAGGGATCAAAGACATTACAGAAAACTCACAAAAACAGCTAACCTGGCTCATAGGAACTCAACCAACAATCAGGAAGCCTGCATGGGACCAACCTAGTCCCTCTGCATATATGTGACAGTTGTGTAGCTTGTCTACTCGTGGGACTCCTAATCACGGGAGCAGGGGCTGTCCCTAACACTCTGGCTGGCCTTAGGAACCTATTACTCATACTGGATTGTCTCACCCAGCCTTAATACAAGGAGGGGCGGTGCTTAGTTTCACTGCAACTTGATATGCCATGCTTTGTTGATACTCATGGGAGGCCTGCCCCTTTCTGAATAGAAACAGAAGAAGAGTGGATGAGGGGGGGTAAGCGAGGTGGGGGAGGGCTTAGGAAGAGAGAGGGAGAGGAAAATGGGGTAAGAATGTAGAATAAATTTGTCTTAAAAAGAATCTAGCAGAAAGAGCTAGGAATGCATAGTGGTGGTAAATAAGAGTGTGGGTTCAATGTCCCTCACTGGAAAGATGAAAATAAGGAGTTGTCCACATGAAGACTGCATCTTTGTTATGGCAATGCACCTCTGAAACCATGGAACTCGGGAGACCAGACAAAGAAGAGCCTGCCTCTAACACTAACCTGGGCTAGCCTAGGCTGGCAAGACCATTTCCTGAGAAGAGCTAGAAGAACCTAGTGAAGTCAACTGGTGAAACCCCTGCCTAGTCCCACCCTTGAAGAGAGAAGAATGGAGTGGAAGAAGGAGTGAGGAATACCAAAAAATCCTTCACCTGTCTGTGTATGCACCACTGAGGTCAGTGCCTACGTTCCCCAAGAACCGGGCTTCACTTCAGGTTAGGCATGTCAAAAACACGGCAAAATTCAGACCTCCTCACATGAAAAATCTTGTTGCTCAGTCTCCAGTGCTCCCTAACCTATGTAGGTGTCCTATTAGGAAAAGAGAAAACCTCAGAAAGCAGTAACACAAAACTTACAACAGAGCCATTGGCAGGACACTTCCTTGAGATCGTTTGGGCAAAAGCAGCAGTTTATTCGTGTCTTACAAACATACAGAGCTGGCACAAAAGAACAGACGCCACCTCCCTTACACCATGCTTTCCTCTGCATCACTTCTACTGAACTACGACAAGTCAGTCACTGAATCTCACAGTTCTTCAGACACGGCAACCTCCCTATCTGGGTGGTTAGACTGGCTAAGCAGACAACAAATTAATTTACATGTTTAGTACAGTGCAGGAATTTTAGCAGAGTTGGGTATTCACAATGATATTGTAATACACTATAAACAGTACAGTTTTCAGAAATGATGAGATCACTTAACTCCCTGTCTGTTCCAACTCTTCTCTTGCTTTTCTCTTTTTCCCTTAAAACCAGTTGTAAATAGTTACAATCAACTTAACAAACCTTCAAAACACTTTAAATTGTGAAACTAAAAACTATTTACAAACAATTTAATGTGATTTTGAAGTATTTTTTGTCAGACTTGTTTCCTATTTTTTAAAAAATCCTTTTCCAATAAACATCCTATAAGTTGGATCACCATCAACTTCCTGCCACTCTGTAGGACACTTGGAAACCATGCCTCATGATATTAGAGCTCCAAGTTAGAGTTCACTCCATGGCCTATGACATCAAATGTGCATCCATACAAAGGCCATCTGGCCTCCCCAAACTCCACACGGTTGCAGTTCATTCCATGTTGGTGTCACAGACTGCTGAGTAGACAGAGATGTGAGATGACCTTGTCACTGGATGACAATGAGTGCGGGAAAGCATAAAAGAGATTGATTTCAGTTTTGTACATACAGAATGAAATATATTTCCTTACAGAAAGTTGAACTTCTTCATAGTCATTAAAAAGCACAGACAAGTAGTTCGGAAATACATTTTCATTGAATTTACAAACACTGTGATATCAAACACATTCTCAAAAATGGCTAAAGCACTGACACAAAGCTTGACTCAAATGGTAAAGTTTTCAGTAGACATCATCTCTAACTTGCATATTTAATAATTCCGCTGGACCTAAGTCACACTCATGATTCTCCAACAATTCAGATATAAAGACATCGCCATCATCGAGTTAAGTCTTCCCAGACAACGCTAGAGCTCTGCTTGCATCAAACGAGTTTGGCAAGAGTTTCAGAACTTAGCGATTGGGAATGGCACGAGACACGGTCTGTGTCTTAAAAATAGCAGCTCAAGACAAATTGGTCTCAAAAGACAGTGTAGCACACACTGTCCATGCTAATTTTACAGCTTCAGTCTATTTTGTGAATGTCTGTAGATTCTGATAGGCTTATTAGTCTTTTGTCTTAGTCTTTTTACTTAATGTGGTTGATTTCAACCTGACAATGTACAGAATTTAACACGTTTTCTTTTCTTTTGTTTCTCTTTAAGTAGTTTAGAACTTCCTGGGAAAGAATAAGTTAAATACTTAGGTAGCCATGCCCTCTCTGAGGGGGAAAGACAGCCTTGAAAATACACTCGTTCACTGATACAGATTTTTATATATATTTAAAAACTGTATTCCTAACTGAATATCTAGCTTAAGTTTATTTTTTCCACTAGTCTGACAGCTTCACAGAGGTAAGTAGGAGTATCTTAGGCCACACTGAGGCTTGGAATGGGCGGTGAATAATTCAAGACCATGATTCTTATGTGAAGTTACATTTTATATTACTCACATGTGATCTCAGGGAACAAAAACAATCTCATTGCAACCACAGTGTTCTTCAATTCAGCCCTTTAACTAATTAATTTCTCAACTTGTTTGCTGTCTTTGTAAAATGAACCTAAGTTACCTACCCCTCTTATGATGAGATTGTATCAAATAATCACAAACCGAATGGAAACGACAGCATATCTTTGATATATAGGACAACTGTCCATGAAATAAACTAGAAAACAGACTGGAGGACATTTCTGTAATATCTTTGGATTGAAATAAAACCTTTTCTCCCCAACCTGAAGAAACATGGGTTGATTTTCATACAAAAAGGTGTGAGTTTTCATCTTGAACTCTTAACGATTACCTGGACTTCCACTACCAAGGCAAAAGTGACATTATGATCTACAACACACACCTACCTGCGACTTGAGATTAAACTAGAGTACTCACAACAGACTTGCTTGGCCCGCTTAAGACCAGACAGAGGGAAATTGAGTATCTTATGAAAATTTAGTCAACACCTCTAATAAAGAAGGATATTATCAAGATACACATTTACAACTGTTTTCTGGTCTACTACTTTAATCCACTTCTAACCTAAATTATTTAATAAATAATAAACAAATAATAAAGTAGCTTGCTGTGCCACAAGATCATAATCATGTATAAGAAAGAAACTTTCTTCTTGCCTAGCAAAAGCCTTTACGCTCCGGCTCACGGCCAGGAAACTACCCATCACAGAGCATGTGCCACTTAGCAATCTGCCTCCTGGGAAAGTCACAGATCTCCTTCCAGTGCCCCCCACTGCTTCCTTCTGCTGTGGCGCCCAGGACCAACCGCCCAATCACCTCATTTCGGGATCCCCTTTCCGAATCCAAAACTAAAAATTCAACACTGATTTCTTCAAGACTCTCACAAGGAATATCAAAGACAAACAGTTCGTTGAACACTGCATTGGGAGTGCATTTTTTCACGTGAGTCTTCTTTTTAGAGATTCTCTTCTTGGCGTGGTACAGGTTCACTTTGACGTAGGGATCTGCAATGACATACAAGGGTTAAATTGTCAACGGTCTTAGCGAAAGGGGAAGGAAAGAGAATGCTGCATATTGCCTAATCCCGAAAGCAAGATGAAGGCAGTGTCTGAGCTTGCTGATTTTATACTCTCAGTGAATCTGTCTCCTGGTGAGGACCGCTTTTGTTGTTGAACAGGGATTTAAAACCAGGTCATGTCCTCTTTAGCTTTTCTACAGGTGGTTAGCCACTTTCAGGGTTTGCTTTTAATTTACAAGAGTTGATCTCTCCTGTGACATTCTTACTAAACTGGGTTCAGGATCATGTGACTTTCTATATCACATAATTATATTATTTTGATTGCAGTATATACATCATTTATCTTCATGATCTCAAGCTTTAAGATCTTGTCTTCAATTTCTTCAATCAAATAATAAGAACAATATCACTCAGCGATTCTTTATTAAAATATACATTTACAGTTTTGAAAAAGCCCTTCAAGTATTATTGTGCCCAATGTCTATAGTGTTTAAGAAATATAAAGAGGATACTCTATTAAGAAATGGAAGGATAAAGGATTTAATTAAGATCATTTTAACCTGTAACTTGGCTCATTTTCTTCCTCATATTCTACAACAAATACTTTGTTTTTCAATTATTCGAAACTAAAATTTTATTATTAAAGCCTATGTATTATTAGAAAAATAGTAAGCTCACCAAAGAATGTGAGTGAGTAAGTCTTTTGACATGTCAAAGTTCAGAACTCTTTCTGAGCAATGTCAGGCTGCGTTGTTCCTCTTCTTTTGTCATTGCTTTAAGTCATCCACTCAAATGTTCCCTCCTCCACTAACTGTGTCACAGGCATATGACTTTCTCTGTATTGCTAGCAGAATTGACTCATAATTTTTTCCCACAAAACTCGGCAATCCCAGTGCTCATGATTGAGACTGACCAAACCAGAGTCCATTGTTAGTTGACAATACATAAACCAGGTATAGACGGAACTCTGGGTTTTCAGAAGCGTTCTCACCTGAAAGTCCGGACACATCAGACTTCGGCAGGTGCCGGGCTTTTAAGACAACCACGGTGAGCGTGTTTGTGGTGGACTGATAGCATAGAGAGACCAGAAGCTCGCCCCGTCCAGAAGACTTCTAAACAAAGACAAGCACACAAACGTAGTGGTCGTGTTGAGCTCTTGTGCCCTCATCACAAAACATACAGCAACATAGTACCTTTGTTATTTTAATGCCGTGCTCCTATTTATTTTTATTTTAGCAAGCTAGAGAATCTGAGAAACGCTTGGCCCTATGATGACTAAAACCATTGACTGCCATCTTGTGGTTGTTTTAGGTACTACCTAATACTAAAATTTCCAAGGATTTGACCACACCCAGTACTTACACATGTTTTGAAAGGTATTTATAATTATATTCCCAAGAGGATTTTTTCTTTAGTTTTTGCTATCCAAAGATATCTTTAATCTTTTAAGTTATTAATATATGTCAACCAATATGTGTAGGATCACAAGGCTGATATTTGATTTTAGTTTAAATTCCTCATTATTGACATTATTAGCATTTGAATTCAAGCCAAAGAAGACCTATTCTGTATCCAGCCACTATTCTGGACCAGGATCACAGAATTCTTGTCCTACATAGCCAAAGTACTTCCTCAATCTAAGGAGGAAATAAATGAATTTAAGTATTGGAGAGAACTGGCTCAAGTTTTAGAACTTGCTTTTGGACAGTAACATGGACTCCTTCATTGCAAAGGTGTTTATATTTTATTTTACATTAAAGACATTAGCTAAGACAACTAAGGATGCAAAATACAAGCTTTAACTAAAACTAACAAAACGATAACATAGGACTTGCTTGTAATTAAGAACAGCTAGAGAAAAAAAACATGCCAAAAAATAATATATAGCTATATTCTTGTGGCTGAGGAAGACCACCTCAAACTAAGCAACTGTACAAAGAGAGTGGTAAAGAAAACAGCAAAGGTCCAGGAGTTCTCTGACACTAAAGGGCCCAACCAGTTAGATGTCTCAGTCAAACCACGTAGCCCTCTGGACCTGAGCTTTAACTGTTGCCAGTGTGGAGAAGACAGGAAGACGGGTACAAAGTGTTCTAAAGATATTTTTAACTCTAAAATGTGATTTTAAAAAACTTAAGTAATGTGACTGCTGTTTTTCTTAAATTATAGCATTGAGAGAACAAATTATTTCCAAATGCCACTTTTAGGATTAATGATACATATATTTAAAATATATAAAAAAGGAAAGGGTTCTGGGTGCTAAGTTGACGTCATATCATTTTCTAATCACCCAAGAATTGTCAAGGAAGTACAAGTAGGAAGGCAGAGTCATTCACTTCCTTTAGGTACCAGGAGAATGGACATTCATAAGTCAACATAACAGGACGACCCCTTGTTCAAAAGTAATTTCATTCGAATTCCACATCCTGAGAATAAATTGATTTGATTTTTATTTCACTTTTGATAACCTGTGGTAAGAGATGAAAACATGAATTTTAAAGTAGCAGTCTTTTGCAAAATATTTTAATAGAAAGTAAAAATGCCTTTTACATAAATGATGTATAAATATCATAAAGTGTGGCCTCTTGTTTTATATCATTAAGATTCCTTGAGCATTTCAGCTGTGTATTCAATTTCCTTTGCCTGCTCTGTTCTCTTGTTCTCTGTTTGCTGTCTCCTACTGTAATTAAGGATAATGTGGACCAGCTCATCATTTGAATGAAAGCACCACAGATATTTTTAAAAACTTATGCTAAAGATTCCTTATAAATACTTAAATGTTTAAATGATTACCTTAGCGTTTCTCTTAATGATCTCTCTAGTCATTAGCATTTTTCCTTCTGATAATTCAATCCCTGAGAGAGGGATCAGGACTTCTCCAATGATGTCATCTCTTGAAAACCGGTCAAAACTCAAAACGGTGAAATGCAAGGACAGCTCTTGGATGTGGGGATAGGGAATCCCATAGAATGTGAAGGTTTCATCAAACACGGGGTCCAAGGTCTTCCTCAGCACTCTGGTCTTCACTTTATGCTTCTTCTCTGGTAAGATTGTCATTTTGATGTATGGGTCAGAGGTCATGGATTGCTCATCCATGGCTGGTAAGCCCTGGGCTTCCTTGATGTTCACCACAAATGCTTTCTTCTCAAAGTTGTACTCTAGAGACAAGAAGAGTGTCCCCAGCTTCTCTTGCTTCTCTTCTGAAGTGAGGGAGGTACTGGACTTCAAGCTCTCTGGGGAAGCAGCCTCCTTTTCTCTCTCTGGGAAGAGCTTTGGGGTCACATTTTCTAGATCAGGAGGGCTGCCAGCTTTGAGATTGGTTTTGGGGAAATTGCCGTTGAGATCTCGCTTCTCCAGATCAAGATGCAGTGAAACTTTTGGCACAGCTGACTTATTCTTGGCTTCATTTTTGTCCTCTCCTCCAAACTTCTTCTTGCTGCTTAGGTTTTCAGGGTAGATGTCAACTCCTTTGAGCACATGCACGAACTTGTACGGAGGAGTCTTGTTGGACTTAGATGATCTTCTTTGGCAGCAAATCCAAGCGAAGAGAGAGACAGTGAAGACCAGACCAAATGCACTGAAGATCCCCACGACTGTGGGAATTTCATCTGTAAAACCAAATGACAAATGACGTCCATTAAATGATCAGAGTGGAAATGGAAGACTACAGGAAGAGCACAATAGAGCACTAGGTATAAGTGGAGAAGCTTGAGTTACTTCCCCACAGTTCTGGGCATGAATAATAGTTTCCCACTAGCTTGAGATCTAAACATAGCCCTGTGTGACACACAGGAGATACATTATGATTTAAAACTCCTTACTTCAATAGATTTTTATAAATAAATGAAAGTGTATCTGGAACAAATATGGGGTCATATTTAATATTCTCATCTAACTTTGTTTTACTCAGATATCATGAGTCATAAGTAAATGAAAGTATATCTGGAACAAATATGGGATCATATTTAATATTCTCATCTAACTTTGTTTTACTCAGATGTCATGAGTCAATATGAGGAAGTACTATTTTTATTATTTTTCATTGACATTTTGAGATTTTTCAAAAGCACCAATCTACTAATTATGAATATACACATTTATATACATATATAACCAACAAATATTGGGGAACTCTGTCCTTTGAATACATCTCTAGTCACCCAGGACTCAAGCAGAAAAAAAGAATACCTAAAGACAGTAATCTACACAACTAAAAAATTATGGGAAAAAACATGCTAGTCATGGGTTATTGTTACAAACCCATTATTTTTTTATTTTAATTATGGAATGTGATAAAGAGATAAATATCTATTAATAAGGAGAAAATAGTAAAAGAAAAACAATAGTTTGATAATAGCATATAATTGTAGCATTGTAATCCTTTTGTAAATATGAGCTTAAAATTCTTCAAGCCCTGGATTATCAAAAGCACAAAGTAATTTATGTGGGTTAAAAGAGAATAATGGTCATAAATCCATAGCCATTCCCAAAATGTGAATGAAAAGTGAATATAGGCAATTTAGAGTTCAATTTTGCCCTTGTCTATTTATATATGGCAAAAGGTGATAAAATTGAAAATGGCATTGTTTTCTTAACTTTGCAAACATTAAATCATTGGCATGGAGTGACATTCCAACAGTGAGCGTGCATGAAGCAGATATCATCTCATATGTACGCAGACTCTTCTAACAACTGCTTAGGAGCTGTACTACCCCATCTAAAGAGTAAACCTTTGCCTGAAGTGAACATAACGTGTTGTGCACATTTAGCTCTATTTTATCCATGTTTTATTTTAAATAGTGAATACTAAACATACACATCCCAGCCCAAAAAGGGTTAACACCTTTTAAGACCAAGAAGACTAATCTTCCTTATGTCCCTTCTCCACCTTCTAAATATTCTGTCCATTTACTTCATAAAAATGAACTCGAAGGAAATCAAATGAATTAAAGGTAAGAAAAAATATGTGAGGTTAAAAACTAAGGCAGCAATAAAAATTCTATAATTTATTTGTATGACTAAATTGAATAGTGTAAAAAAAAGTTAAGCTGCTAGTCTCCTAAATCAGAAAAAAAAAAGTGAATGCTACCGAAGAAAAAGAGGAGGAAGAGTTAATCAGCTCAGCAGTATGAGCTTCTTCCCTTCTCTTCAAATCTTTGTGCCCCCACACACACCCACACAATCTAATAACTCATGGCAAGGCAGCAAACGCAAGCTCAGGAACTAAGAAATGCTTCAGCCAATATAAGAAGAACAATAAAAGCAGTTGAAATCAATATTTTCTAAGTAGACAGACAAGTGAGCATGAACATACGCTCACAAAGATAGTCTCTGAAGATGCCACACTATGAGAAAATTTCTGACTTCACATCAAGAACTGAGTGTATCACACACACACACACACACACACACACATGCACACATACAAATCCAATGATAAAAGGCTGAAAAAATCATTTAAGCATATTTTATTACCTCTAATATTCAAAACATGGACTCATGTTCTGCTAATGTAACTACTGATACCGTACTTAGTTTTTGAGAGCAGAGATTATGCCATACTAGTCATTTTAATCACAATTATGATACATCTAGAGATACTATTCAAAGATGTCTCCATCCTTTAATTAAAAAATACTTATAGATGAAAACCCTGGTCTTTTCCCATTAGAATATAATTGGACCTAGACATGTTCATTGATTTTCTAAAAGGCACGTCTAGTTTGTTTACCGAAGCAGACAAGGATACCTTAGTGACAAATTTTTGGAATATGAACAGGAAAAGCAATCCAGAAAGCAAGATCTCTAATCCAAGTTTTGAGCAGCTTTTACTTAACTGTTCAGCGCTGGACTCCAGAAAGCTCAACTGGGAACATTAAGCAGGCCAAAGCCAATTTGATTTCAAAGTCCCCAGAACTATGCTATCACAGAATTCTGTCTGTCATTAGCAACATACTTAAGGGATACAAGATAACATAGCCAAGAAAATTATGACAACATAATAAAATACTCATCTCAAATCCTCAACATACAAGTGATTTCATGTCACACCGAACTCTTATGTAACCAAAGGCGTATGTGGCTTCCTTAAAAGATTTACACACAAATAAGAATCATCCAGAAAATAACTGAAGCAGCGTTCTAACAACAGATGTCCTTGTCTTTCCTCAGCTCAGGCTTACAGAGCTCAGTGAACATTCGGGAACTTCTGGAAGGTGAAATCACAGAAGGCGATGTTAAGGAGAAAGATACCAAGAAAAGGAAGTAAGCCACAATTAACCATCTGCTGTTCTCGACTTCCTTTCAAATTAGCTACTTGAAAACATACATATTCAACATCCCCAACATCCCGAGGAGAGCACAGCCCTGAGCCCAGCCACAGCCCCAAGTTCAGCAACTTGCTTACCGAATTCCACGCGGCTGGTAGTGATAGGAGCCATGTTTTCTGCGTGCTCTGTCCGAGGTGCTGAAAGAACTCCAGCCAGATTCACCTGGAAAGACCCTGGAACAAGGCTTCCCGAGGAAACAGCCTGATCCACGGGCCGGCACCTGCAGCGGGAGAGGCTGGAGAAAGGTCCGCGCTTTCTATCGGCAATGTGCCACCCTGCCCTGTTCCTGTTTTGGCTCTTCTGAAAAGCTTGTCCCCGAGACTCCAGACGTGGCAGAAACACGAATTGACGCAATCCTGACGCTACAGGGCTGAAATCAGCACCTGCCCTCCCCCTTCTCCCTTCAGCCGCTCCTCCTCGCCCTCCTCCTCGCACCCTCCCTCCCCTCTTGAGGATTCAGCGCACACTCACCAATTATTTTAACTGTTGGGCTACTAGATATTAACTATGCTCTTCTGTTAGGCTCAGAGACACGCGGAGACACGTCCTGAAACGTATCCTTGACAGTTTTTAATCCAAAATTCTCCTGATCATCTACAGACATTAAAATAAATGTGTCCTAGTTATCAGAATATCATAATTCATAAAAGAAATAAATGGTAAGGATTTGTGTCCATATCAAATATCCATTGTAAGATGCATTCTTGTTTCCTAAAATATTCTGTGAACAATTGAATGCATACCACACTTATCATATTTCAGGGAATTCCACCAAAAATTGATATATTAAAAATAGCAATGTTCCCTCTATCATCCCTAATATTTAAACAATTTATAGTCTAAACATTTGTTTGTTGTTCCTGTTTTTCTGGTCTGTCCTCTATTTCCTCTTAATATCTGACATTTGAACAGTTAAGATTCTTGGGAACAGTTGGAATGTGCTAACTTTGTTCTTAGATATGACTTTTAATATTTTGACATTGCTGATATAGTCATATTTACAGTCAAAGACTCTAGCTTCTAATAGGTTTCTGCAAACAAGTTACAAGAGTCTGATCAACTACTAAAATAATATTATTACCAGGTACTTTCAAAGGAATGCTATTCTTTGAAATGAAGATCTGGAAAAATATGCTATCATATTTCAATTAATTTGAATCTTAATGGTATTACTCTTTAAGACACTGAGCAGATTTATAAAGAAGAAACACACAGCTGTGACTTGCACCTATTAGCTAATGCTTCACAGATACACACAATGTCCTTTGCTCTGAAATTCAATAAACAAATGGATTTCGGTATGTACTGTGTTGAAGTAAGATGAGACATGAGGATGTCTCAGAAAACTGCACACGAGACAGGTGTCTGCGTTCTGGCGAACAGCTGCCCCGAGCATCAGCATTGTGTCTGGGGAGACATTGGTTTCAGCCCTCTGCATCATGGAAAATTTCCTAAGCCAGAGCCTCTTTTCTTTCCCTTTCCAGCAGCTCCCACACACTTGGCACTGTGGCATTCTTTGAATAGACGTTTTTTAAAACCTCACATGCTCGTGCTATGAAAACACAGAAACTAAGTTGCTGCCTAGAATTTTCCCATGGCAGTGTCTGTGGTGGGGTCCTAAACACTCGGATCTTTGCAGCAATTGCCTTCTCAGCCCTGTGCTCCGTGAGATGACAGTGGCGCTCATTTGTGATGCATTTCAAAGTAATCTGATTAGATGATGTAAATTGTATTAAAGTATATGCTTCCCATCTAAGTTATTGTAACATATGGCTAAGCTCATTTGTTATAAACAGAAGTATATTCTGTGTATGTTATATAAAAATTAATGCCTCATTAACTATACCTTCAGATGGTAAAATGGAGTATAAAACCTGTCTAGAATCTTTAAAGAGTGTTTCTCCACAACCCAACTCATTGTGTGCCTTCTTATTTCAGAGAGTTCAATAAGATAAGATGACCACTTGCCCAGGGCTGATGGTATTGTAACTATTTCATTGCTTGCTTCAAAAGCAAACTGAAAATAAATGCCATTAATCAAACTCTGAAGTTTCTTTTTCATTTGATGAATATCACCTCAGCATTTATACAATCGCCAGACAAGCTTCAAGCAACATCAGATAAAGAGTGGAATCCACCGAGAAAAACCTGTAAGTTTCTTATGATTGAGAATTACGCCCTACCACGTTATTGCATTGTTCTTTCAGATCTAGCAAACTAGTAATCAATTTACTGACTTGCCAAACTGCTTCTTGCAGTACAGACAAGGGAGGAGGGGCTGTTGCTAGGTAACCACCCTTTTACCACCCAAAACACACAACCTCAAACAATTTCAATCCTGAGAAGCAGAAGGTTCTGTCCCAGCAACTGTGTTTACTTCAGTGTGTTTCTTTCATTGCAAATTTCTTCACATACTATACTCAGAAATAATTAGCAAAAGCCTTGAATTCGACTTGGTATTTTAAAAAACCCAGGTAAATTTAATTGATAATTCTCTGATTGATTTTTTATTCTGTTTTACTTATTCAGTTAATTAAATTTAATTTAGTATGGAATCTGATTGGTAAAGTCCATAGTTTATTATATATACTTTATGATTTTAGCACTCCCTTATTTTAAAAATGATATTTGTTGATATACTAATATAAATCTGTTGATCACGGGGAAACTTTAAAAGTTTGTGAAATGTTAAACTGCTCCTCAGTACATTTGGGGGATACAAGCACATTTTTCTGGTATTTGGAGTGGACTGAATATCTGGATATAGAAAATGAATTCTTGTATCAATGTGCCAAGTCATTGTAATAAAAAAGATTGGCTCTGACACAAATGGGAAGGTTTTAGATTACACACATACCTGATTCTATTTTTCCATTTTTGCTCCCAAAGTGTCTTTATGATTTCCTGTTGGAGTTTCAAAGAGTCACCTTTCACATTAAGACCTTTGATCCATTTTAAATTTACCTTTGCACAAGATGAATAAAATGGAATTCTACTTTCATTTTTATACATGTGAATGAACAAACAGTATTGTCATTTGTTGAAGAGGCTTTTTTTTTCTCCAATGTATATTCTTTTTTAGCCACTGTATTGGAACAGATGTCTATAGTTGCGTAGGTATCTGTTCTATTCTCTGGGATCTTGAGCCACAAAGTTTCTGCTGCTAAAACTCCATATGAAACTCCATCTCATAATATAACTTGAGATCAACTGTTGTGATACACTTAGCATTGTTATTTTTCCTCAGGATGTCTTTGGCTATACTAGATCTTTGGTGCTTTCATATTAATTTAAGAAATACTTTTTTATTCCTGTAAAAAAGTTATTGGAATGTGTGGTTATTTTAATAAGATGGTCTTAACAGGTTTATTAGTTTGGATGTTTGGTCCCTTGGGTAAAACTATTTGGGGAAGGATTAGGAGGTATGGCCTTGCAAAAATAGCTGTGTCATTGGTGGTGGGCTTTGGCCAGGCCCAGTATCTATCTATCTATCTATCTATCTATCTATCTATCTATCTATCTCGCTCACTTGCTCCTACTTGAAGATTAGGATATAAGTTCTTTGTCACTGCTTCAGTTCAGTTCCATGCCTGCCTGCTACCATGCTCCCCGCCATTGATGCTCACTGACTCACCCTCCAGTTAAATTAGCTCCTTTACAAGTTGCCTTGGTCGTCTTGTCTCTTCAAAGTCAAAGAAAAGTAGGAAAGACAGAATGCTGCTTTAAATTGCATTTATCTTTAGATCATCTTCATTAATGTAGCCATTGCTACTACATTAGCTCTTACACTCCACGAACATGAGAGATCTTCCCATCACCTGGTGTTTTCATCAAATTCTTTCCCCACTGTTAAAATTCCTACCACATAGATCTTTCACTTTCATGGTTATTATTATTTCCATTTTTCTTCTACTGTGAACAGGATTTTCGCTAATCATGTTACTTATTGTTATATAGAACAGCTACTGTTTCTTAATACTGTTTTTTATCTTACTAGTTTTCTAAAAATGTTTACCGGAACTATGAGTTGTTTAAGGTAGTCTTTAAGGTCTTTACATACAGGATCATATAATTAGCAGAGGGCAATAATTATTTTCAATTTGCATCCTTTTTCTTTCTGTTGCCTTAATAGCCATCTAAGAACTCAACCATTATATTGAAAAAAGTGCAGAAGTGGGCTTGTCTAATTTCTGACTTGTGAAAACTGGTTTTACTTTTTCCATACTAAGGAAAATTATTTCCTTTCCTACTTAGTCTTCTAAGCCATCTTGGCACATGTTTGATCTTTATACCCTTAATTCCACAAAGATGATTCATGCTTTCACCAATACAAATACACAATTTTTCACAGGACTACAACTCATCTTTTTTTTTTATTTTGAAGTTTTTAAATATAAATTCTTGATTGATTCTTTGGGAATTTCACATTATGCACCCTAATTCTGCTCACCTCATGGTCCCCCCATATCCTCCCCTCACCTCCACAGCACCCCCAAAAGAGAAACTAAAAAGTAAAATCAAACCAGAGCAAAATAAAACAAGGAAACAAAAACAAGAGCAAAACTCTTCATTTCTCCTTCTTTTCTGCCTCTCCAACACCTCTTCATTTGTCCTGGTGCCATTGGGAGCAGTGTATAACATAGTATACTCTTTTGTCCAACTGGCTTTACTAGCCAGTGTTCATCGCAATAAGTCACAGGTCTGGCTCCTGTGGAACAATAGCAACAGGATCTCTATGACTCCAGCAGCCCCTATATATCCGGGGGGGGGAGGGGGGGTTCTGGTGAGTACCAGAAACCAGAATCTATAACTCATCTTGAAGGTGTGCCCAAATGAACTTCTTCAATTTGTAGATGTTGGCATCTTGATAAGAATGTGGCTTAGAAATCTTTACAAAGTTTCTCCTTTCGGGTCACCTTGGAAGGGCTTCCTTCTAGCTCCTCAAGATGCCCATATTCCCTTTTCCAACTCTGATCATAAATGAGATTTTCTTTTTTTTTTTTAAGCTTTCAACTTTTTTTAATTTTTTGAAAATTATATATATGGTTACTTTTTTATTTTTTTATTTTTTTTATTTAAATTTATTTATTTATTAAGGATTTCTGCCTCGTCCCCACAACCACTTCCCATTTCCCTCCCCCTCCCCCGACCAGAACCTGGAAACAACCTAGATGCCCTTCAACGGAAGAATGGATGAAGAAAGTATGGAATATATACATATTAGAATATTACTCAGCAGTAAAAAACAAGGACTTCTTGAATTTTGCATACAAATGGATGGAAATAGAAAACACTATCCTGAGTGAGGTAAGCCAGACCCAAAAAGAGGAACATGGGATGTACTCACTCATATTTGGTTTCTAGCC